GACTCACTTAAAATAAGCCAACTAGAGCTGGTTGCTCAGGGCTCTGCCCAGCCAAATTTTTACTGTCTCCAAGGATGGAGACTCCCCACCCTCTCTGGGCAGCCTATTCCAGCATTCAACCACCTCCACAATGGTTTTTCTTAGGTTTGAAGGGAATTTCTTGAATTTCAGTTTCTGCCCATTGCCTCTTATCTCTGGAGGCCACTGGCTTCAGCTTCTTCATCCCCCTGGCAACCCCATACATACTGGCAAGATGCCCCTAAGCCTTGTCTCCCCCAGGCTGAACAGTTCCAGCTCTCTCAGCCTCTCCTCATACATCAGATGTTCCATATCTTTAATCGTCTTTGTGACTCTTCACTGGACTCTCTCCAGCGTGTCCATGTCTCTCTTGTACTGGAGAGGCCAGCACTGGTCCCAGCACTCCGGGTGTGTCTCACCAGTGCTGAGCAGAGGGGAAGGATCACCTCCCTCTGTCTGCTGGAGATGTCCTGCCTACTGCAGCCCAGGAGGCTGTTGACCTTTGCCATAAGGGCTCATTGCTGGCTCGTGGTCAACTTGGTTTCCAGAAGGCCACCAGGGTCTCTCCATCAGGTTGCCCCAGCTCGTGCTGGTGCCTGGGGTTATTCATCCAGAGGGGCAGAACTTTGCATTCTCATTTACTGAACTGCAGGAGGTTCCTGTCAGCCCACAGCCCCAACCTGTTGAGGTCTGCTGGATGGCAGCACAACCCTCTGGTGTATCAGCCACGCCTGCCAGCTTTCTGTCATCTGCAAACTTGCTGGGCAACCTGCTCTGTCCCAGTGTCCAGGTCATCAACAGAGATGTTGGGCAGCATCAGCCCTCAGGAGCAGCATTTTTTTCTCATTGCTGTGGAAGTGGTGGAAAATAACAGGTTTAGTCCCTGAGCTGGTTTCTGGAAAAATATGTTACAGGCATTGCTGCTGGCCCATGTATATGTGACAACAACCATAAATTCACACTTCTTTTGTTGTTTAGTTTTCTTAATGGGTAGTTTTATGCAGACAGGTGGAATGATGCTGCCTGGCTGCAGGACCTCCTTTCCCAGAAAAATTCTTGCTGCAATGACCCTCAGCAGCTAGCATGGCAACAAGACCCTTTTTATGCAAATAGATTCAGTAGCACGAGTCATCATTTGCCTTTTGAATTTTGGTGAAGCCATTAACAGCAAATATGTGAGCAGGGGAAGACCACCTCCCTTTCCTCCTCCCATCAGTGGTGGGGAGCAGGTGTGCTGCTCGCTCACCAGCACAGCAGAAGAGGAATGAAATGCAAACAAAATTCAGGCAGAAAATATTTTGTCACTGATTAAAGAAGATGGTCCCTACACAAGTGGATTGCTGCCACCAACAGCATTCACTTCTATCCCTCTAAGCTTGTGTGGAATTAATTAGGTAAACCCCCTAGCATTTACCTTGTGCTGGGGTATCACCTGGAGGACACTTGGCATGAATTAGCACTGGATTATCACCGGAGCTCGAGCTGCAAAATGATCTGTCTAGTGAGAGTCTGCCAAGTAATTCACAGGAGGTGGCAAACAAAGTGGCACTTTCGTAATTTTAATTAGGTTTGGGGGGGGGAAAGAGGTTAGCAAGAGGCAGAATGATGGTGACCTTACTGAACATCTCCTGGATTTCCTTCAACAGAGCTGGGATGTGGGGACACACTCTGCAAATTTGCTCAGAAGTTTCCTCGCTGCTCAGAGAATTTAAAAGGGAGGAAGTGATGCTTTTTTTCCATAAGATAATAGGAGATAAAATCGCAGTGGAAAAAGGCTTGGTTCAGGCATCAGAGAAAGGGTTGCTGCGACCCCTGAGTGGAGATGCATGTGCCGCGTGTAGAGGCTGGAAAAATGCCACCAGATGGCTCTGCAGCCTAAAAAACGTGGGGAGGCTGCTGGGCACAGCAGCACCGCCATGGACTGCCCTGCCTGCCTTTGCTCCTCAGCACAGAGGAGATTTAACAGAGAAAGAGGGATGCAAAGAACAAATTAAACCCCCCCACACACCCTGTTCCTCCTCCTCCCCAAAGGCAACGGCTCCCGACCCCCATCCAGATCACAACTACTCTCTCCACAGGTGAGGGAGACAGATTAGGCCACAAAATTGCTTTTTGTCCTATTTTAGGGAAAGGCACATTGGTAGTGTAGCTTCCTGGACACTGCTTTATCTTACACAGAGTGGGTCTGTGGAAGGCAAAGTTCTGACTTGCTTGTTGCTGGGGTTACTGTACCTGTGACAGCAACTGAGCACCTCAAAAAGCTTTAGAGGCAATATTCAATCCTATCCCTCAATGTCCCCATAAAATAGGGAAGTTCAATGATTTACCAGAAATCTCATTGGGATCCTGTGTACAGTCAGGCATAAGGTGCAGGGACTTAATTGACTTCTCCCTTCGACTAGCAGTGGTGATTACAACTGCATACAAAGAGATCAAAGTGGTGTTTTGATTCCCAGGTCTCAGTCACAAGAATCACAGCACCATTTACTGCCCAAGATAGCAATTATTTATGGTACCAGTGAATGAAAAATAAATTTAAAAAAGCAGCCCCCTAAACCTACTTTTCTGTGCGTAGCTCAGACCTCCTGTCTACATTTTAGGGCAATGCAAAGGGCAAGGAGCCAGGTTGGTTCTCTTCATCACCCTGTGGGCAGTTTTAAATTTCACTGAGGAAGGGGGTGGTAAGGGAAGGGAGAGTGGCAAAAATTAGATCCGAAGGAGGTCAACTCTATCCACTTAACTGCTATTGACCCACTTGTAACCAGAGCTGGGCCCAGCCTGGGTACTGGAATTTCATGTCTCTGGCAGCGTGCAGAGCCTGGAACTCTAATCCCTGTAGCACAATGAAGCCCCTACAGCCTTAAAACCACCATAGCTACCACTTGTTTCAAGAGCTACCTGGGGCTGAGCATACTAAGAAAAAGAAGCTGGTGTAAATTTACTGGGGGATTAAGAGGAAGAAGGTACTTTCTTCCCCCTTTCTGGGTAGTGTGGAAAGCCCCAGGGAATTACTGCTCTGTTTTTCAGTTGGTGCACTAAAAAACCCCCAACCTTTCTGAAAAAATCTTTACACTGATGAAAACCTTGTGCTTGAGTCTGATTCTGCAGTTCCTGAAAAGCTCTGTAACTTGCAGCTTGTTTTATACCATTTTAGGGCTGCAAAAGTAGCAAAGTACAATGGAGCATCAGGCCCCTATTTCTCACCAGACTCCAAGTACACTTTCTTCATACAAATACATGAAAGGGAAACCAGATACTCCTAGTCTCAGTATGAGAAAATTATGTTAATTTTAATAGCTTACAGTGTAACTATTATACCCTGATGCAGTAGCTACACCAAAAGTAAGCACCAACATGCTAATCCAAAAAAGTGTCTATTAAAATAATAACAATAATAAAAAAGCCTTGGCTTACATTAGTTATAGGTTTGGCTGAAAAGCTGAGCCTTGGACTGTATGAACTGGCTCTGGCTCTGCTGGTCCACAAAAAGACTGAAATCATTACTTGGGAAACCTTCACGGAGGGCACGCTGCCTTGAATCCCTGGGAGCAACATCGATGAATGAGAATGGACACGGGCTAATTCAAACCCTTCTCCCACCTTTCAAATCAAGTTAGTGATTTCTCTCTTCTTTGTGGTTCCCAGCCAATTGTCATTTTCAGTGCATCCTATTGCCCCGCAGTACAAACTGTTCTGGGAATACACTCCATTCCTCCAGCAGCCTCTCAGCCATGCCAAGGAATGTAGCTCTTCTGGATACAATTAAGAAATTCAACATACAAATGCTCCCCAAGTGCACCAGAACCTGCTTGTGACCTCCACACAACCAAATCTGAAGACGTCAAAGCACCTTTCTGGTCTTTGGTTCCAATAAAGAGTAGAGGGGGAAAAGTCCCATTCCTCCACAGAAGCACCGTGGTTTCGGGGGTCAGCTGCACAGACACTGGCACAAGGAAGCACAGTTTCAAAGGCTGCATTCCCACAAGGATCTCTGGGCTGGGGGTGGGGGGTAGGTCACTGTGGCATGCCTGCCAGGTAGGCAGGTTTAATCCCCACCACACAGCAGAAAAAGTGCTGGCAGGGCAAGTGCAAGTATTGGTGGAGCCAACCTGCCCACTGCCATGCTCTCCTGGGGACACCTGGTCCCCAGAGCCACCTCTCAGCAGCTGGGTAGGGCTGCCTCAGCTCCATCCCCATGAACTGTCTCTCTCTGAACTCTCTCAGGGCCGCTGTGTAGGCACTTTGAGAACAAACTCTACCCCTGGCCTTTTATGTTGCATCTCTGCCAGGATTGTGTCCATGTGAGGCAGATTAAGAAGCTATTACAGAACAGCTCTATAGTACCTAGTTGTAAATATAGTGTTTATTTAGGAAAAAAGCAGCAAATCCTTTTTGATTGTGAGAGCGTGAACATTACGTCTATATTTAACTTACACTGGGGGCTGAAGAATAGCAGTTGCTCTATCACCCAATGGCCCCTCCCCAGCAGAGAAGGGGATCAGGAAAAGGAGAGGAGACCTGCAGGTTGCAGTGAAAAACTCATTTAATGAAACAGCCAAACTAATACCAATGCCAATATGGAGTATATAAAGTTATACTCAACTCAGTGTATGTACAGCAGTCACAATAAATGGGATGGATGGAAGCAGGTGGAGAAGAAAGCGCAGGAGAAGCCCCTGGCCTCAGCAAAAATCCCCTTTCATACTGAGCATGATGTTCCTGGTCTGGGATCCACCTGTAGCCAACTGGGGTCAGCTGCCCTGGCTGACTCCAAACTGCTGACAGCCTGCAGACCATGGCTGGCTGGGATTCTGTCCCACCAAAACCACGACAACCTATTAGATGGTTTTTGAGATGTATGTCCCTCCACCACCTCTCTTCAGCCTCTGCATTTTCAGTCATAATCTGGCTTTAAAACTCTTTCCTCTAAAACTCAGGATAACACTGTTGCCCAAGATGAGAAATATATTTGTGTTTTCCAGATGGATGGAGATGGCAAAGGAATAGTATGGAAAGCCCTTGATGTGGAATCTCATCACCCAAAAGAACTTGGGAGGTCCCTTGAGCTCTCCAATGACACGTTCTTTTCACTGAGGATCAAAAATATAACCACCCACAACAGTGGGACATACAAGTGCACTTTGGGAGAACAGAGTGGAGAACACAACCTGAGCAGCACAGTCACACTGAAAGTAACAGGTACAGTAGAGACTCCAGGCTGTCCCATGCTCCCTGTGGTGTTTCACAAAGCTAACAGTCTGACAATATTTTACAAACACCAGAACAATGTAACACCTTCTTTTACATTTTAGGTTGCCCTGGAATAGAAGATGAAAAATTAAAAAAATACAAAGCTGAGCTTCTCATGCTGACTTGCCTTGGGATTTTTTACTTGTTGCTCATCATTTTTACCTGTGTAAGTAATTCCCTCTCAAACATACTGACCAAAACCAACAACAGAAAACCCCATTCTTTTTCTCTGCTAGCCTCACCTTAATACAAACAGTTAGAAGTTGGTGTTAATTCTTAATTTATGACCAAATCCTTCAAATACAAAGTATTTCAAAGCCAGAGGAAACTCAGGTGCACAAGGAATACAGGATGGAGCCCCAAAGAGATAAAACATTTCACTGCACCCTGATGTAACTCAAACCAGATGGTTATTTGCCTGCACCCTGCTGCCCATTTCTGCTTCCAGTTACTCCATGTGCAATCTACTCCTCCATTTAAGGGCACATCAACAACTCTTCTGGTTTGGTAGCTGGGAACAGCATTTTCCTGAGCTGGAGGCACAAGACCCTGAGATCCCTTCTCCAACTATAGCATTACTTTGTGTGGGGGCATGATAGACAAGTTCAAGTCCACCTATTTTTTAGCTCCAGTTTCCATACCTGTAAATTGGTGACAACCCCATTCCCAATGGGCATTTTTACAAAGCTCCATCTTTCTTGTTACACAGGCATTTTAAGATTCTTAGGAAAAAACCTCCTTGGAGTTTTATCCATGCCCTTAATGCTGGCTGATTGTTCTAGGTAAGGTAGGGAGGGGAGGTATCTGGGAAGCTCACTTCACAGAAGCAAAACCAATTTGTCTGTGGTAGCAGTGAAGCCATCTCCTCGTGCAGAGGTCTAAGCCCCCTGGTTCAGGGGCAGCATGAGCCTTTGGTGGCACTACAGCCACTAACACTACCTGCATTTCTAATGAAAAACAAACCAAAATGAACTCCAGCATTTTGAGAGTTGCCTACAGCATACCCAGGGCTAAGCTATAGCAGTTGCTCTATCACCCAATGACCCCTCCCCAGCCAAGAAATGAGAGGAGACTCACAGACTGAATTGATAAATGGACTTAAGGAAACAGTAAAACTAATACCAGTGCAAAGTAAACAAAACTATACTCAGCCCAGCGAGCATCCAGTGGTCACAATAAACAGGAAGGCAGTCCTGAAGAGCAGGAAGAGGATCAGGAGACACCCTTGTCCCCACCAGACTTCCCCTTTTGTACTGGGTGTGATATTTCTGGTCTGGGATGCACCTGCAGCCAATTCAGCTCAGCTGCCCTGGCTGACTCCAGACTGCTAACAGCCTGCAGACCATGGCTGGCTGGGATTCTGTCCCACCAAAACCAGGAGATCACATTTAACTTTCGCTGCCTATTTTGTATTTGCCTTCTTGTTTTGTTCCTCAGCAGATGAATCATAACTGTTGATTGGAGAATATCTAATTAGCTGCAGCTAAATGTAGCTTTTCATGTATCTTCAGGGAGCAATTAAATTTATGCCTGTCTCATTTTTAGATTGACAATCCTGCCAGTAATTTGTGCCGTTCAGACTGAGGTTTGACAAGATAAATCTTGTAGGAATTTGTTAGGATGAAAGTATGAAAGCAAGGATATCACTCAGAAGAGACAGATGCCCCTGTTCTGCTTAGCGTCCTGAAAGAATTGCAGATCTCTAAAGAAACCTCTCCTTCCCATATGTAAAAAAAATGTTCCAGTTGTAGTGGTGCAGTTAAAAGCCAGCAGAGCTATGTAGTGAAGATAACCACTCTGGTGGAATTATGTGTATCTTACTCTGGGGTGAGGTCCAGTCTCAGGTATCAGCTCAGCTTTCATCAATGTTTCATTTTGCCCTAATCTCACAAGTGAGCTTCATTATTTAAAATGGCTATTAAATACTTACAGGATGCCTTGTCCTTTCTTCTAGTGGAGATTTTGCCTAATCTCCACTAAATTCAACAGTGACGTTAAGTTTAAGACTGGTGTCAAGATTGGGGCTTTACTTTGACAACTTGATGAAATATTTGGGGCAATGACCTGTATTGAAGGCAGGTGGAAACACGCTTGATGCAAGGCCTGTTCATATGGAAACTTGAATTAAATATAAATTTCCTTTTATGACTAAGGCTTTTGTCCTATAAGGGTCCTTGACTGAGCAAGAAACACTGGCTGTTCTTTGTACTGGGTCCTTCTGGTGACAAACAAATGGAAAAGGCTTATGGTTAGCAAAGAGAAAAAGCTTTTAAAAAAAGCTTTAAAAAGTAGGCTTTCATAGGAGCCCTCAGTTTTATGCCTTCCTTTCTGTTTTCTGTTTTAGACATGTCTAAGAAAAGAAACCATGTCTCCCAATTATCAAAAAAACAGATCAGATATGAAGCACATGCTCACTCTCATCAATGTACGTGAAATGACAACCTTCCAGGACTTAAACAGTGACAGCACTTGCAAAAATGGACTCTCTTCAAGTTCTGTCTAAGGTGACGCTGATGGTACTGTGGGATCATCAGTAAACACAACAGGAGCTGGATGGCCGAGTGTTACGGAGAGGAGATAAATGATGTCATATGGCCTCTCCAGAACAGCCCTAAAGTACAGGTAACCTGTCAATGATCTGCGTGTGCTGGACAAGCCTTCAACAAGCACTGTTAGGCACTACAGTCCCTTTTGGGAGTTAGGTGGCTAAGAAATACCACTACAGCTACACAACGGTGTTATGATGCTGTTCTGAAGTTGGTATCGACTTCATTTCACTCTGTCATGAAGCCCTCTTGCTCTGAGCAAGAATGCTCCTGTGATATGAAGACCAGGTTATAAGCAGGCCATGGCAGCGCAAAGCTGAGTAGTTAAGCTCTTCACTGATCTACAGCTCTCATCATTCAATTGCAAACACAAGAGGTGCTGCAGTATGAGAGATCAATGTGCGGGGCTCTCTGCCCCAAGCCCAATTCTGGATGGCGTTCCTTTTCTGCAAGCGTGATGTAACTTGTCATGTGGTGTTCAAGTAAGCTGAGGAGGCAACTTCAAGCTCCTGTCCTGGGTGGATCAAATCAACGCTCACTTTTAAATCTCAGAGTGACAGGCTAAAAATAAAGAAGGGACAAAATATTCTGGAAGTCTTTCTGGACCGAGAGGAACTTTCTATTTCTGTAGGGGAAGTAAGGACACATTTCCCATGGGCATCTCTGCACAGGTCAATCCATAAGAAGCTTCAATAAGACCGTTAACATTAAAGCAATAAAAATGAGAATGAAACAATGAGTGACATCAAAGACAAGTAAAGATGACTTTTGTGGTTTATAAAATATGAAGGCGAATGTAGGTGACACCCATACCAGTCAACTTACATGAGTGATAATCAAAGCCATGGCTTGGAAGAAATCAATCGTCTGCCTCTTTGAGATGTACTGAGTCAGCCACACATCAGGGAGATGAGACACATGAGCACCTGCTTTTGGTGTTGACAGTGTGTAGTGTATATGAAACAAAGACATGAGAAAAGCTGAACTCAGGCATGCAATATGAGGGAGGGAAGACTTCTCCTCTTGGACCAAAGGCAGCAAGAGACATTCTGGAGTCTGAAATCAAGAAACCTCCCCTACCAGGCTAAAGGTGCAGAAGGTGAAGCAAGAGGAGTCTAAAGTGACTGTGGGTGTTCGTGCCACAACATGAGAATTTGAGCCAAAACGTGAATTTTCAAGCACTTAAGAACATAAACTTTAAAAAAGCAAACCAATACAAAACAAAACCCCTTCAAGAGTTAAGCTGCAACATAAGGATTTTTAATGCAGTTTGGAATTCCAGGCTGTGACAAGGAGGCTCTTTCTATAATCCTTTGACTAATTTTGAAGTGTTGATGGGTGGAAAATGTTGTGTCACTCAGCAGTGCCTGTGTGAGCAGGGTAGATGTCTCCACTGGTGGAGTCCAAGGCACTTCTGAGCAGAATGGTTACAAGGATATGCAATTTACTTAGAGCATGGTAAATTAATGCCACATTTGATTTTGTTATAATCAATTTTTACATATAAACGTGTGTAACATACTTGAAATAAAAATTCAGAGATAACCTACCATTTGTCTTTGTGTGCCACATATGGCAAATAAACCCAGAAATACTCCGTATCAATTGCATTTTATTTTCCAACCAACCTAATTCCATCAAATCATGTAGATACCTGATCCAGCCTCTTCTGTGGGAGAGGGCAGGTATGTGTGTATAATTGATTAAACAATGGATAATTTTATGCATTTCTAAGGAGCTAGAGGCATTTAAATTTTCCTCAAATGTTCACTTTGTGGCCAAAGGACATTCTAACACCTGTTCCCTCCTGACAGGCGAGTCATGAGGGAAAACTCAAGGGTGTTTCTTCTTCTAAGCATGATGTACCACCATGGGTGACCTCTGTGTTTAGATGGCAGGAATGCA